CGCTGTCTGCGTAGTATTTTGTAACGTAACGCCCCAAACAGCGCCCGTCTGTTAAACGCTATCGATTCAAACGGCAGCGTTTTATTAATATTTAATTTCAAGCTCTCGTCCTTAGTAAAAACAAAACTAGTGGAAAGGGAAATGCTCCCAGGGGAAGCTGATCCATAGGTGCTGGGAGTGGGACAGCTCGCTCCCTCTCTGCAGCGGTGTGAGCCGCGGTCTGTGTGAACGCCGCTCCGCAGTTTAATGCAGGGCCATAGCTGCGTTTTTAACGGGCCTAAAATGATATTTAAAATGATTCACTTTTAACTAATGTAATGCTTGTTTTGTTGCTTGAGAAGCTTGTGGAAATAGTGTAGGTTTGTTTTAGTACAGTTTTAGGGAAACAAAAGTTAGGGGGGCAGCTGGGGGGGCAAGGCTCTACAGTGGGGAGGGGGCAGCTGCCCCCCCCGTAGATCCGCCCCTGGCTCCAGTGAATTTCTGCTTTCTTTCGTACGAACCTAAGCAACAGTGCAACCCAGTCTCATGGCATTTCGTGTTCACCAACACGATTTTTAATCTATTGATTCGTGTTCACCAACACGATTTGCCCCTTTTTTTCGTGTTGCACAGCACGATTTTAAAAGCAATGTATTTCTACTGCCTGCAGCACGTCTTTTTCTCCGGTCGGGTCGAGGAAGACCGGAAGCTGTGTGGTTCATAAAAACATGTTCTTACTCAATATCAAGCCACAGTTATTGGTTTTATTTTAAATCGTATAATTTCGGACTTTTGTTGCCGTCTGTGAGGAAAATAAATGGGGCTCAGAGCCTCAGGATACTGAAATCTGTATTTTTTAAATCTTTTTTTCCTTCTAATTTGTTATTCTTTTCAAAATAACACACTGTTATTTACTCACCAATAACACACAATTATCCTTGCTTTTATTTATTGGTTTAATTCCATAATCTCGGGCTTTTTTGGCGTCCGTCAGGAACTGAATTTCAAAATAAAAATAACCGGAAACAGACGTAGGCATTTCGAGCGATTACCCAAGATCCTCAGCTATGTTTTAAGCTCGCTTATTGGATGTTTTAGCCGCAATGCATGCTGGGATTTGGTGTTTATATGATATGAAATCCGGAAAACATTTTAAAAGAATAAAATAATACTTAATTCCGAGTGCTCTTGCTTTTCTCTTTGAAAGTCATCACATAACGGCATTATAATACACGGTTCGGCTGCATTACATATTACAGATCTGCCGTAGTTCTTTATTTATAGAGCCCTGATGAGAAGACCTTTGGAAAAACTGAGAAAATGCCGCCGAAACTGAATACTTGACGTGGATCATAAATATATTCAACAATTAAACAACATCTTCAATTTCTCTTCACACAATACGTCTCCTTGCAGTATCAACACTAATTCGGCTGACTTTTACATTTGATCTAATTCACAGATAGGTTATATTTACACCATAACGGTGCACAGCTTATATAAAAGGACTGTAGTTTTTAAAGATATTACTGATTTTCTTTGAATGTAAGAATGTAAATACTGAGTCTGAAATAGTATAGGAATATATGCTGTAAAATTATGTGAAAGCATGCATAAAACTACACAACTTCAGATGTTGTACGAAAACATAAGTCCTACACTAATAATACAAAGTTATTATGGCTGTGTGTACCTTGTGTGCACCTCCTAGTGGTTAAAGCACGTTATTGAATTATTGTGTTATATTTGATTAAAAAAATATTAAGAGTACATACTTTCATAGGGGGAAAGTATAAATATAGAATATAAAAAATCAAGAAGATACTATAAGTGATCTCTACAATAAAACAGTTTAGTGCAGAATGTACAAAGATATTAATAGGAGGAGGTGCAAAACAGAAAAACGAATTAACCTTTATTTAAACATTAAATAACAGATTAAGGTCTTCTTTTAAATAAGAAAAAAACTTTGGGGGTATCTATCTACAGATAAATATTAAGCCTGACAAAGTACTTAACGTCTAATATATTGCTTTCCTGCAATGTTAACTATGTTGAAGCACTTATTTTAACTGATATTATACATATGAATTATACTCTTATGTAGATAGAATAAGAAATGTGCAGAATATGACAGTTTAATGGTGGAGGTACACACATATTGATAGATGTCTTGTAATGCACTGTTGAGGAACCTGTGACCCAAGTGTTTCATTCATTGCATAACTACACCGTAGTTGTGTATATGATATGTCAATAAACCTTTGAAAATCTTGAAAGGGATGTGCAAAATAGCCATAATATACAGTCTTTAATTAACTATTAGTAGAGAATAACGAGTAATGAATATACTGTATTACTCGTTTCCATTCATGTCAATTGCAGATACATGTTTAGTCTTCTCAAGCACCAACTATCAAATATCTCTCCTGATTGTTGGCACTTGACAATCACCTTACCTGAATGTTACTCAGGTGTAACTAAAGTCTGATTTAAGGGTTGTTTATATTTCACATCATTAATCAGAATCTGCAAAGTAACTCAAATAAATGCAGTGGAGTAAAAATACCAGGTTAACCTCTGAATTGTAGTGGAGTATAATTACAAAGTAACAATGAGCTGTCATGATGTGGGTATTAATGCTGCGCATTATGGACACAACTTGATTATTAGGCATCTCTACTTCTCAGAAGTCACTCCTGGGGGGTATACTACGAAGCAGGATTTTCGCTTAGCCGGCTAAATTCAGGGACAACTCCGGCGATTTTCACCCATTTATTAATTATATGTTTTACATTTGATAACACCAATGTGTTTAATACTGGCAACTTCTAATTGTGGGGAAAACGAAAACGTTCAGTAGAGACGTCCCATAGAACATTTTGCGAAACACAATAGCCAGCATGTGTAGTTCTGGGGGGGCGTTCGATTCCAGTTTTGGATAGTCTGGCGTGGTTTCGTTCCATTTCACACAGCTGTTTGACGCTCTGCGTAACCTTACGGGACTGTAGTCCTAAACGATAGCTGGGGATTATGGGTAGTGTAGTGTCTTCGGCCATCCTAAACTCAGAAATGTTGACAATCGCAATGATGCTCGAAATGTCCCTTATAGGCCTACGTCTGTTTCCGGTTATTTTTATTTTGAAATTCAGTTCCTGACGGACGCCAAAAAAGCCCGAGATTATGGAATTAAACCAATAAATAAAAGCAAGGATAATTGTGTGTTATTGGTGAGTAAATAACAGTGTGTTATTTTGAAAAGAATAACGAATTAGAAGGAAAAAAATATTTAAAAATACAGATTTCAGTATCCTGAGGCTCTGAGCCCCATTTATTTTCCTCACAGACGGCAACAAAAGTCAGAAATTATACGATTTAAAATAAAAGCAATAATTGTTGCTTGATATTGAGTAAGAACATGTTTTTATGAACCACACAGCTTCCGGTCTCCCACGACCCGACCGGAGAAAAAGACGTGCTGCAGGCAGTAGAAATACATTGCTTTTAAAATCGTGCTGTGCAACACGAAAAAAAGGGGCAAATCGTGTTGGTGAACACGAATCAATAGATTAAAAATCGTGTTAGTGAACACGAAATGCCGTGAGACTGGGTTGGTGTGTCACAGACTGTGACACTTCAATGTGTGTGTGTTTGCTTGTGGACAGCACATGAATAGATGTTAATAATGATCAGATTTAGATTTAAAACAAGTTAAATATCTGAGTTTAGGAAGTACCAACACTATCCTATGCTAAAAACAGAATAATCACAAAGTCATAACCCAACTTAAAATAAATGTAGGCTTCCTTCTCTTGGCAGTGAGAGATAAGATACAGAGGAATGATTAGATTTGTCCATTGTGTCATGAAAAACCATGATCTGATTACAAGTAATGGGTCCAGAGTTTGACATCTTCTTCATCCCTGCAGTATTTCAACCTTAAAATATACATTTTTAAGATGTGAAGAAGACATTCACATGCTTTAAGTGTTAATAAGCGAGAGTAGGTCATATTTTATTTGCTATACCTGGTTACACAGTGTCATAAACTAACTTAATACACCTGAATGAGAGCAACGAGGGTTCTTCAAGGTCCGAATCTGAAAGGATATAGGAAGGAAGTGGCACAAGGATGTAAAACTTGATTATTAGGCATCTCTACTTCTCAGAAGTCACTCCTGTTCTGAGTCGGGACCAGGTTAGGTTGCAGGCTAAGAGCTCAACTCAGTGAAAGCACTGCCTGCTGACCAATCAGAGCTCAGTGTGCGGAGTTTAAAGCGATCAAGTCATATTACAGGAGAAAGGAAATACAGAAAAGCTGCAGTCGCAGGAAAGACGGCCGGCAAAAATCACCGACTGTGTGAACGTGAACATTAATAGAATATCACCTCCATCTTCAGAGCAATCTGACTATTATAACATTAGCGTTAAGAAAGCTTACTTAAATATCTGCCACAACATAAGTAACCGGATCAGAGTAATATTAAGTACAGTCCGCGGCATATCACTTCATAATGTATCATATATTTTCTTATCTGAGTCAGCTGAGCCGTATCAGGCCGTGCAACACTCTCAGTGTCACATACTGTATGCAGAAGTATTATGTTAAGCAACACATTAAGTTGACGAAACACTCGAGACAAATGTAATTAAAGTCAGATCGTGTTTTAGACGGGGCAGTGATATCATACACCTGTTAAAGTACGCATTCAAACTTTATTTGTGCCACACAGCTATGTGGCTTTTATCCTGGATAAAGTGTTTAAGTCATGGATGTTCAAAGTTTAACTTCTTCATTTTTGACTAGTATTAAAGTTCACTTTTCATTCAGGAAGTATGACGCTGCGCTGTCAGTACGCTTCTCCATGTTTGTGATTGGTCGAATGCTCCAGATACCACCCCTTTCATGTGAACGCGCACCTAACTAGATAGGACACGGCTGGCTTGAGCGATCCACTTGATAACCAGCGTCGTAGTACAGTTTAGCGAGAGCGCGTATGTTTTGGATTAGGCCAACCGGCTAACTCAAACATATCCAGGTTAGTGAAGAAGACATTCACATGCTTTAAGTGTTAATAAGCGAGAGTAGGTCATATTTTATTTGCTATACCTGGTTACACAGTGTCATAAACTAACTTAATACACCTGAATGAGAGCAATGAGGGTTCTTCAAGGTCCGAATCTGAAAGGATATAGGAAGGGAGTGGCACAATCAATCAATCAATCAATCAATGTTTATTTATATAGCCCAATATCACAAATGTTACATTTGTCTCAGTGGACTTTACAGTTTGTACAAAATATCAGTATGACAATATGATACCCTCTGTCCTTAGACCCTCACATCGTACAAGGAAAAACTTCCAGAGAAAACCCACAGTTTAAAGGGAAAAATGGGAGAAACCTCAGGGAGAGCAACAGAGGAGGGATCCCTCTCCCAGGACGGACAGACGTGCAATAGATGCCGTGTGTAAATTGAAAAGATAATACATTTGCAACATAGGTAGTCCAAATGTTTGGAAATGCATGTGTGTATAATAGGAAAATGAATCCACGAGGATATCCATCCAGGACCTATGATCCAGGACCACAGCCACGACTCAAGATCCAGGACAGAGGAGCGCAGGATCATCCATGACTCCGGATCCCGGCGTATACAGACACCAAAAAGAAAGACATTTGGGGAAGCTGGGTTAATCGGAACATGAGAGTACACAGGTATAGACAGAGAGAAGGAAGAAGTAAGATGTCCCCCGACAAACTAAGCCTATATCAGCAAAACTAGGGGCTGACTCTAATCCGCCCTAACTATAAGCTTTATCAAAAAGGAAGGTCTTAAGCGCACTCTTAAAAACGGATAGGGTGTCTGCCGCCCGAACACAAACTGGAAGCTGATTCCACAAATGTGGAGCTTGATAAGAAAAGGCTCTGGCTCCCATTGTACTTTTAGAGACTCTAGGAACAACCAACAACCCTGCATTCTTGGAACGCAATGCCCTAGTAGGACAGTAGGGTATAATGAGTTCTTTGAGGTAAGATGGCGCCTGCCCATTAAGGGCTTTGTAGGCGAGAAGAAGAATTTTAAATTATATCCTGTGTTCTATAGGGAGCCAGTGTAAGGCAGCCAGAACAGGAGTAATGTGGTCCCTTTTCCTAACTCTGGTTAGTACACGAGCTGCAGCATTTTCACAAGGATGTGAAACTTGATTATTAGGCATCTCTACTTCTCAGAAGTCACTCCTGGTCTGAGTAACAAACAGCTTCAGTGAATTTCTGCTTTCTTTCGTACGAACTGAAGCAACAGTAGAGTAAATCAAGTTTAAAATGGTACATGTTTTTCCTGTGTTGTACTGCTGAAGTGTGTATTCATCCGCAGCTGAAAGTAGTCCCTAACAAAAGTACTTATTTCTCCTGTTTGACCTACTTTAATATCTTATGAACGAATAACAGTTCACCTTTTTAGAATGTTTTCGTCTAAAATGTCCCTTTTTCCCAAGAGTTTCCTAACATTTACTCGATCCAAAAGCTACCTTTACCTTTCTAAAGAATGACTGAAACCAGCCCTGTGAAATGCAGAGAAATGTTTAGCTCAGAGATGGTGTTTGTGATATGAAACCACAACAACCTGTTTCCCCTGCAGCAACACAAAGAAACGAGGGCACGCCAGCTCTACCAAATATCTACCTCACTTACCTTAAAGTGAAAGATTTCAAGTCAACACAAACATTTCTATTAATAAACTAATTGCACAAACATATAAGTACAAATGTGTGTTGCTGCTAGCAATTTGTACCGAGATGTCTTCACTTTATCAGCTGAGTAACAAAGCAACCTTAAATAACCCATTCTCGCTCATAATCTATCATTTATTTCCTGTTATTGTGGACTTTGTCCCACTTTGGGTTTGTTAGCAATGTTGTTACGTCTCCCTGACCTTTCAAAAATCTCTTTGACACAACACCTGCGCATCTGTATTTAAAAGCAATTTAAAAAACTGAGCATTGTTCCTCTAGAAGTGACATTAGTCTGCTTTACAGCCCTATACAATATATCTCATTTTAGACACTCCTAACTCTACAAACTCTTTGATTATATAAATGAATAGAATTATGTAAATATCTTTTAATGAGTGAGGATAGTTGTGATTTAAAAAAGGCAGTTTACAGGTTAATAATGCCAGTTTTTAAGCTGGTAAAGAACTTCCTCAACACAAAAGGAGTTTCCAACTGGAGTGACAGAGTGTTTAAACAGGTCAGCTAAAATGTATATTTAGTGGTTTTCATTTTCGATTTAATGTATATTGTAATCTTTAACTACAATTACACGTGTTTGCTCTGAATATGACGCTACGTTTCTTCTTTGACTATGAAATGTCACAATGAGGGCCTCTTGGATCACTTCCTTTAGAAACCATGAACACACACACACACACACACACACATAAAGGTGGGTATCTCACTGCTGTGACAGGAAATAACCTTGATAATGGAAAGCGGCTGTTTCTCTGTCTCAGATGATGATGAAGATGGCGATGAAGATGTCTGCTGCCTCCGTCTCTCTGCTCCTGCTCTGCTGCTACGCCTTCTCCTCCACAGGTAACTAATTAACAATTACCTCATTTCTAATAGGCTTAAAGTTAAAACATGGGTCTTTTGGAGGATTCTCTTCTGGACATCTGTCTCGTTACCTTCTTATTCCTGCTATAGTTTGATCGTGCTGCATTGTTTTATACTTCCTAATGTGCTTCACAAAAAAAACCTTAACAAATTCACTAAACTAGATCCAAACTAAAGGGTACATTTTCTACTTTTCTAAGTCAGTACGTATGAAGTTTATAGATTTCTTTGGCACAAATTGTACCTCTTAATACGTTTATTCAGCTGTAGCTAAAGCAGTGGTTCTCAAACTTTTTCTGTCAGGCCCCCCCTTTGGAGAAAAAAAAAAGTCGGGCCCCCCTAACACAAATAGTCAGGCTCAGTAGCTCAGGTAGCTTGACGTTTCATAGAGGGTGCTCAAACATTTAGGGTTTCCCATTAATGTACCGGTCGCTACAGTGGAATTTTCTACTGCAACATTCCCCACGCATATACACAGTGTACCCGCGACTGTTACAATGAAGGCTCGATAATCAGCTTAGCAGGGGTAAAGTGCTATTTTTATAGGTGGTGTGTGGACCTCACATAGGGGGGTCCGGGGGCAAGCTCCCCCGGGAAGATTTCATTTTTAAATATTGAAGTTAAATGCATCAATCTGGTGCCCTTTGAGAGCAAAATGAAGAGATCTATGGATACATCTCTCAACACGTAATAATACTGTACTGCATCATATTATTTTCGAATCAATAATTTTAAAAATTATGATTTTTTTTTTTTTTTTTAATCTTTTTTTTTTTAACCATTTTTCCTCCTGGTCTCTCGCGCCCCCCCCTGGCATGCCTCTGCGCCCCCACTTTGAGAACCACTGAGCTAAAGGCACTGACATTGAATGACGTGAAATCAATGAAATGAAATACTAAGGATTATTTAATAATTGGTTAATTTACTGATTCTTCCCTTAAAAGAAGAATGAAAATAGTGAAAAATGTCCATCCTAGTTAATCAAATGTTAAAGGAATTTGTTTAAATTAGTTGCTTTTATCATTAAAAACTCACCTGTTCACCTTTGACCCCTAACCCATCACCGTCCCCCTGCTTCCACTCCTACTGCTATTTATCTAATTGTTTTATTTTATTATCTGCCCCTTTTGTTTGTTTGTTCACCATGTAAAGCGGCCTTGGGTCCCTTGAAAGGCGCTATACAAATGTCATCTATTATTATTATTCATCATTATTGTCAGACGTATACCTTACAGCAACTCAGTTCATTTAAACATTTGAATAATAGGAAATGTCCATATTTGAGAGGCTAAAAACTGCATTTTCTCACATTTTTGCATGAAGATTAGCTGAGCATGTAATGGATTAAATGTTCTGTTGGTAGATGAATCAATGCAGATCATATAGTACACACATCCTTTACTCTAGTAGAAGTACAGATACTCGTGTTTAAAAATATTCTGGTGAAAGTAGAAGTACTGACTAAACTTCTTTGCTCAAGTTAAAGTAAAGAGGCTTTGAAGTGTACTTCAGTAAAAAGTACCCATAACTAGCTGTTTTAAAGAGTACCTGACCTCCCTTTATATGAATAGAACAATAATGTCATTGTTAGCTAATGAATGTTTCCATGCTGAACAACGGCAACATGACAACGTTTCCATTGGTCCCTCTTCTTTAGAGAAGACCAGGAAATGATGGATCCACGGATCGTGTTCAAATCAATAGGCACGCAATGACTCTAAAGAATAATGATCACGCATCAAACACACATTCAGACTAAAGGAACCAGCTGTTTGGGAAATGAGAGAAGTAGAAAGTACAGGTATTTGAGTTCAACATGTAAGAAGTAGAAAGTACAGGTATTTGGGTTCAACATGTAAGAAGTAGAAAGTACAGGTATTTGAGTTCAACATGTAAGACAGGGGTGGCCAACCAGTCAGAGGTTAAGAGCCACATTTTTTCTATGTTACTGCAAAGAGCCACATCAAACACACAGTCACTGATACCGCTTGTTTCCGTTTTTTGTTTTCTGGAGACAAGATTTCAACCACGTCACTGATGCGTTTTTGTGGCATTGGGATATATATTTTTTAAATCCTCTGGAGCAGAGAGAGGAGCTGTGGATTATTGTTATTGATTAATGCATCAGTGTTTCTTAGGGTCAAAAACACTAAACTCACAACTTAAAATGAAAGCGTTTAGTTTATTTAATAAAAGAGCACATGTTCAATGTGAAAAGTGACAGTAGTTATAGATTATTTGCAATTTGGTGCTATATATATATTTAAAAATAAAATTATATATATATTTTTTTTAAAACACCTATAATATCAGGGGGGGAGGCGGGGCTCTGTTGGCGGGGCGCAGCGCCCCTCCAAGACAATGGTAGGGGAAACACTGGATAATGTTTAATCAACGATAGGTTTCCCCCCCTCAAAGGTGATTGGTTCACTGCATCGCAGGTATTATTGTGATTGGCTCTTGGGCCACATCAAAATTATACGCGCTGTCATCCTCTCATACTGACACCACACATACACAACATACATAACACGGGACGAAAGTAACGGAGCGATTTTATCCGAGCCCAAACAACTTTGACCGGCCAAATTACGTTAGAATTATCAGCATTCAATACTTAACAGACCTACTAAATATCAGGTTTAACTGTCAGGAGTAGTGTTGTCACGATCCAACATTTTGGTTTCGATACCAAGTCAAGAATTGCGATTCCGATTATTTTTCGATACTTTTCTTAAAAAAAGGGAAACAGTCTTAAATGTAATTATTGTGCTTTATTTCACACCAGAACCATAACCATAACACAACTTTTTAAACAATGAAAACAATAAATAAAATAAATGACAAGAATTCGTATTAAATAAAATTAATACATGTCTCACAGACAGGCCTCGTGGTGTCCGTAGGCTTGCCCTCACTGTCAGAGATATAGCTCAAATACTTCCAAATTTCGCTTCTGGCGTCTTTTTTGTCAACAAGCCGAGGCGCAGCGGCAGTTGCACTCCCACTTGCAACCATGCTTCTCGTTTTCTCACATGCTCTGGCAGCTAGCGCATGCACGAGAGAGGGGAGGCACTTAGAGCGTGCTTGAGAGGGGAGGGACTTAGAGCGTGCTTGAGAGGGGCGGGACTGCAGGCACGGCTGCAGTGCAGGGAGTGGAAGCAGAGCGTTGAACACACACGGCTCTTATTAAAACGGCGCTTTCTCACCGGAGTACTTTCCCCCGTCATTCTTAAAGTACCGATACTAATGAAACGGAGGAATCGTAACGTTTTTAACGGCAGGGTATCGCGGTACCTTTCAAGTATCGGTACACCGTGCAACACTAGTCAGGAGTCAGTGTCTCTCCCCCAAATTCACACATATAAAATTCGATATGAACTGAAGAGCCGCATGAAACTAGGCAAAGAGCCGCATGCGGCTCGAGAGCCGCGGGTTGGCCACCCCTGATGTAAGAAGTAGAAAGTACAGGTATTTGGGTTCAACATGTAAGAAGTAGAAAGTACAGGTATTTGAGTTCAACATGTAAGAAGTAGAAAGTACAGGTATTTGAGTTCAACATGTAAGAAGTATAAAGTACAGGTATTTGGGTTCAACATGTAAGAAGTAGAAAGTACAGGTATTTGAGTTCAACATGTAAGAAGTATAAAGTACAGGTATTTGAGTTCAACATGTAAGAAGTAGAAAGTACAGGTATTTGAGTTCAACATGTAAGAAGTAGAAAGTTCAGGTATTTGGGTTCAACATGTAAGAAGTAGAAAGTACAGGTATTTGGGTTCAACATGTAAGAAGTAGAAAGTACAGGTATTTGTGTTCAACATGTAAGAAGTAGAAAGTACAGGTATTTGAGTTCAACATGTAAGAAGTAGAAAGTACAGGTATTTGAGTTCAACATGTAAGAAGTAGAAAGTACAGGTATTTGAGTTCAACATGTAAGAAGTAGAAAGTACAGGTATTTGGGTTCAACATGTAAGAAGTAGAAAGTACAGGTATTTGAGTTCAACATGTAAGAAGTAGAAAGTACAGGTATTTGGGTTCAACATGTAAGAAGTAGAAAGTACAGGTATTTGTGTTCAACATGTAAGAAGTAGAAAGTACAGGTATTTGAGTTCAACATGTAAGAAGTAGAAAGTACAGGTATTTGTGTTCAACATGTAAGAAGTAGAAAGTACAGGTATTTGGGTTCAACATGTAAGAAGTAGAAAAGTACAGGTATTTGGGTTCAACATGTAAGAAGTAGAAAGTACAGGTATTTGGGTTCAACATGTAAGAAGTAGAAAGTACAGGTATTTGTGTTCAACATGTAAGAAGTAGAAAGTACAGGTATTTGGGTTCAACATGTAAGAAGTAGAAAGTACAGGTATTTGAGTTCAACATGTAAGAAGTAGAAAGTACAGGTATTTGTGTTCAACATGTAAGAAGTAGAAAGTACAGGTATTTGGGTTCAACATGTAAGAAGTAGAAAGTACAGGTATTTGGGTTCAACATGTAAGAAGTAGAAAGTACAGGTATTTGAGTTCAACATGTAAGAAGTAGAAAGTACAGGTATTTGAGTTCAACATGTAAGAAGTAGAAAGTACAGGTATTTGGGTTCAACATGTAAGAAGTAGAAAGTACAGGTATTTGAGTTCAACATGTGAGAAGTAGAAAGTACAGGTATTTGGGTTCAACATGTAAGAAGTAGAAAGTACAGGTATTTGAGTTCAACATGTAAGAAGTAGAAAGTACAGGTATTTGAGTTCAACATGTAAGAAGTAGAAAGTACAGGTATTTGAGTTCAACATGTAAGAAGTAGAAAGTACAGGTGTTTGGGTTCAACATGTAAGAAGTCAAAGTAAAAAGTCGTCGTGGAGTAAAGTACTGATACCAGAAAAATGTACTTAAGTACAGTAACAAAGTATTTGTACTCCACTACTTCCCACCTCTGAACACAGGTTGCTCTGCATGCATACGTCTGGATGTGCACTGACTTCACCTGTTAGATAATAATTATCTCTATCTGTAGCTGTGGTGTGTTTTGATTGCGAGTTGAAACTTCTGACAGAAGTATATCAGGTAGACAAAAGAAGCGGCGTCGCAGCAGATGTGGTCGCGACGGCCTGAACGAGGTTACAGAGGAAACAGGAAGCAGAGCGAGGCGCGCTTCAGTGCGACAAAGAAATAAAATACGACTTATCAGCTGAGTGTATAGGGGAAGAGTACAGGAACATAATGGGGGTAAAATGACGTCAGTGCTGCCTTTTTTATTATAAAACGTTTAGGGTTTTTCCATTCAAACACATTGAAATTTAGAGAGCGTAAAAAAACGCGTTCAAATTCAATAGATTCTCAGCTAAGCAAACGATTTAATAGATCATTTTAAAGCACTTTGAGCTGATGCACATGATTTGGATTGGAGGATTTTATCGGTATGCATTTTTTAAATGTCAAAAAGTCAAATGCTGGTGTTGTGCAGTTTCACATTTGCAGCCTAGGTGTGAAGTTGTGGTGTGAAGCCTACATGCTTCCTGTGGTTTGAGAAAAAGGAAGGTAATTTAAAAAAACACCGTTCCCTACTCCTCTTCAATTACTTATGCTATCACAGCTTTGACATCTGTTTCATATAGCCAGTGTATAGTCAGATTTGATAATAGTTGTACTTTTCTGTCCGTCACAACTGGAGCACAACAAGAGGCTCAACATCACACCTACATAAAAATAAATAAACGTTGGTGTTCCACTTTGAGATATGAAGTCATTTCCATTTCAACACTGCATCATTTAACTTGCTCTGAGTTTGATGGAAAAACAACAATATGTAACCTTTCTCATTCAGCTTTGGATGATTGCAGACTGTTAGATTTTATCTTCAGATGTACTTTGACAGAGAAGGGGGACCATGTGATTCTTTAAAGACCCCCCATGCCCTTTTTCTGTATTCTCCTGTGTTTCTGGGTAAACTTTCCAACGGTAATGCTGATGTTATTACATTACATGTCACTTGTTAGACGCTTTTATCCAAAGCGACTTACATACTCAATACTGTGGGCAATCCCCAGGAGCAATTATGGGTGAAGTGTCTTACGGCCCGTCCACACAGCCGCGTGCGTTGACGCTTGCCGGCGGGCGTGTCTGACACTCGACCAACAACCAATCACATGAATCTCCCGCCCCAGACACACAAGCACGCGGTTTGATTGGCTAGAGCTTGTACTGGCATATGATTCGATTGGCTGACGCCTCCGTCGAGGCATTGCTCAACTTTTGAAGCGAGCAACGCCAGCAACGCTCCACGTCGCTTCCCAAAATGCAGTTCGGCTAAAAGTGACGTCACCCCATTCAAAGTGAATGGGCAGAAGCGTTGGAAGCTTCAACGCACGCCGTAACGGCCCGTCCACACAGCGGCGTGCGTTGAAGCTTCCAACGCTTCTGCCCATTCACTTTGAATGGGGTGACGTCACTTTTAGCCGAACTGCATTTTGGGAAGCGACGCGGAGCATTGCTGGCGTTGCTCGCTTCAAAAGTTGAGCAATGTTCAACTTTTGACGCCTCGGCAGAAGCGTCAGCCAATCGAATCATATGCCAGTACAAGCTCTAGCCAATCAAACCGCTGCTTCAAACGCCACTCAAACCCACTGCGCCACACACCTCCCATGTTATGCCGTTTTCGCTCGAACACTTTTATAGGAAAAGACTTAAGTCACTCGTCATCACTTTCTTACCTAACCAAAGTTGATTTAATCCAAAAATCTGAACTCTGATGAATGATTTTATTCATTTGGAGGATTTTTGGGGGGGTTAAAACATGATGACAGTAGAAGTTCAACTCTAAAAACATCAATTGAAGCTTCAAATGTAGAAATGAAATGACATTCGGTTTTGACTCCAAACTCCAATAATGCGATTTCTAAAGAAGGCACTAAACCACCAATACGTTATTTAAAGGAAAATATTAATGTTTGAACTTATTAGATGAGGATGACTCATGAAACCATTTCCTGTGGGTAGCCTTCACAGAAAATGAAACCCTATCAAAGCGACATTGCAAATAAAGAGTTCAAGCCCATTTCTACACCCCTTTAATACAGAAAATGTATTATTTTGAATATAAAACAATACAGTATAATATATATTTAAGTTCATGCAAGTGAAGTTTAAGCAGACGTTATATTAGAGCGTGTGTTTTGCTGTGCGTGGCTTCCTGGCAGATTGCGGTCTGCTCAGAGACGACAGGATATAAATCACACGTATGAGGCAGAGTTTCATTTCATATGCTACGGTTTCACATGTAATGGTTTGTGTGAAATGTGCAGGAGGATGAGGAACACGCAGGTTCGAAAATAATGAAGATAAAGGCTTTGACACGTATTTTTTGAAGAATGGTAGACGTTTCTAGGTGAGCTTCAAAAAGGAGCTTCATTACTGCTCACACACGATGTTGTGGTTGAAGTTTAATCCACATTTGACTCCACTTCAATGTTCAAAAAGCTCTTTATTTCTCTCATACTGCCTGCCTCTTTTCACCCTCTGTCTGAAACCATAGCCCAGTCTGCTCTGATTGGTTAGCTGGCCAGCTCTGTTGTGATTGTACAATCGCTTAGAGATGTCCCGCCCCTTAGCCTATCACGTACAATGTGTTGGAGCGCAACAGAAGCGTCCAATGGAGGCGTTTCAGGCAGGTGACATTCACAGAAATCCCGCACACTACAGGAGAGGGAGAACCCAGGAAGCATTGGCCTCTTTAATATGGGAGATAATAAGCTGCTTGTACAATAAATAGCCTACATATTTCTGTTGCATTTAAACCCTTCAGCCACCAGAAGTCCTAAGTGAGGCTTTTGAAAAGATCAGAATCCCAGAATGCTGCATTTGAGTCATCATGTGATTGATTGAAGCATTTTACACATCTGCTTCTTTGTGTTTCCTCACCTTTCTTTCCGTCCCAAAGATTCCCAGGATACGTGTGACATATACGCTGCGACGGGCGACAACGTCAATGTGCCTCTGGGGCCGAACCACACACTGAACGACTTAGAGCGCTTGAAATGGACGTACAACAACGATCTGATTATATTTAATTGGATTAACAAAAAAATGGTCCAAGGGAAAAAGGAAGACATTCATGAAAACGGATCCTTGTGGCTGAAGAGTGTGACGGTGAGCAACAACGGGGCGTACAAGCCTGTGGTTCATACAGCTGGAAATAAAATTGGAAAGGAATTGAAAACCACAAGTTTATGTGTATTGGGTGAGTAATAACCACATGTATTTAAGTGTTTCTTGATAAACTGGATGTGTCAAAACAACCACCAACTGTTTAAAATGTGTATTATTTATCCAAAGTGTACTCTTAAAGTGAAAGAAAACATCATTTGGTTTCATTTCCTATCATATGTTCAGTTCACTACATCTTATCTCAATGTTTCTGGGAATGCAAAGTGGGGTTTTTTTTAATCCAAAAAGGCTTTATCCTGATGTTTGTTCTGATTCATCTCCTCAGACCGCGTCCCGAAGCCTTCAGTGAGCGTTGAATGTAAAAAAAACTCCGTCATATTTACCTGCAAATTCTCTAAGGTAAGAACAACATTACCATAATTATACTTAAAGGTGGGGTAGGTAAGTTTGAGAAAGCGGCTCGAGATACACTTGTTATATTCCATGGAATGCTCTTAACATCCCGATAGCAATGAATATCTGAAGTGCTTTGACAAAAAATCCATAAAGAAATGTCATCTGTGGAAGCCGTAGCGCGATGGCCTACCTGCCTGTCAGCCTTCCATCTGTGCACAAACTCATCTCGTGCCCTCATTGGTCATGTGCGCGTTCGTGTGTGTTGGAGGAGGGGCTCTGTGAGGAAGTGGCAGATCTTTTCCGGCTGTGTATTTTCAAATTCTAGCGCACTCGAGCTGGCTTCTCCAAAATTACCTACCCCACCTACTTAATGTCAGCTGATGGATTTTTGCAGAGACCCACCTCTTATTACCCCAGACAAAGACCATCTTATCTGAAATGTGGTTTGCATTTCATCTATTCTTTTCTTTTCTATTCTATTCAAAATTATTTGTATTTTATTTTTGAGCTCTTCAAATTGCCAGTAGGACTTGTTGTCTTGTCTCCAGATGAACTTGCCTTCCAGTTTCACCTGAAGCTCCAGATGTTCTCTAATCTCTCCGTTTCTCCACATGTGTCTACCCAGCATTCCAGTGACACGGTGGAGTGGCTAAACAACGACAAGGTGGAGGCAAAGTACAAAGGTGAATGGAAAGTGACTAAAGAAGCCAAACAGATGCAGTCAGACTCCTTCAGGTGCAGCGTCTCCACCCGACTCGGCGTGATGAAGAGCGACGCTGTGACGCAGAACTGCGACAAGGGCGAGAAGAGCTGTGAGTATCAAACACATCGGACTCACTCTCAGGAGTATTTAGAAACACGTTTCAGCCAGTTCTCACCCAGTTTCCACTTCTCAATGTGTTTCTCTTTCTCCCTCAAGTTTGGATGGGGCAAATACATATATTAGGAACAAATATTTATATCTGGATTATCGTGGCCTGTGGAGGAGGTACGTGTTTTTATCAGACTATATATACTAATACATCTTTACTACATATACTAATACATCTTTTTACCAGACTACATATACTAATACATCTTTACTACATATACTAAAACATATTTTTACCAGACTACATATACTAATACATCTTTACTACATATACTAATACATCTTTTACCAAACTACATATACTAATACATCTTTACTACATATACTAATACATCTTTTTACCAAACTACATATACTAATACATCTTTACTACATATACTAATACATCTTTTTACCAAACTACATATACTAATACATCTTTACTACATATACTAATACATCTTTTTACCAAACTACATATACTAATACATCTTTACTACATATACTAATACATCTTTACTACATATACTAATACATCTTTTTACCAAACTACATATACTAATACATCTTTACTACATATACTAATACATCTTTTTACCAAACTACATATACTGATACATCTTTACTACATATACTAATACATCTTTACTACATATACTAATACATCTTTTTACCAAACTACATATACTAATACATCTTTTTACCAAACTACATATACTAATACATCTTTACTACATATACTAATACATCTTTACTACATATACTAAAACATATTTTTCTCAGACTACATATACTAATACATCTTTTTACCAAACTACATATACTAATACATCTTTACTACATATACTAATACATATTTTTACCAGACTACATATACTAATACATCTTTACTACATATACTAATACATCTTTTTACCAGACTACATATACTAATACATCTTTACTACATATACTAATACATCTTTACTACATATACTAATACATCTTTTTACCAGACTACATATACTAAAACATCTTTTTGCCAGGCGTTTTATACCAATATACTTTATGTACTAATATGTGTTTTTATCAGACTTTATATACTGAAATATCCCATGGAAATAAGTGGAACAAAAGAAAGCCACTGTAACTCCACCGACACTTCTGATGGAAAGCATTATATTAATATTACATTATCCCCTCAGGACTTGTCCTGTTGCTGATAATCCTGGTGATCATTTGCTGCGTCTGCACCAAATGGAAGAACCGCAGGCGACGGCAAGGTGGGTTTCTTACCATTTGTATTATGTTTGTATTTGTATAGGTTAGTATATTATAGTATATTCTAATTTATTCTGTATATTTTTATATTGTGAACTCTGTAAACACACATTGTTCTATTTTTAATTATCTATGTCTTTAAATATAAACACTCACATTTTTCACTCAACAGAGATGCGTTTGGAGTGGACCAAAAAAGATCTGCATAACCATCAACATGCACAGACTCCCCCCCACGACCATCCTCTTCTTCCTCCTCCTCATCATCATCCTCCTCCTCAGCAACAGCAGCAGCCGGCGGGACACACGGGGCCCCGGAAGCATCGCTCCAAACGAGACCCCCAGCAGAAACCCAGAGTCCCTGAAGGACATCCGGAGCCCAGCCCCCGCAGAGCCGCTCAGGTGGGGGAGGGGTGTGTGTGTGTGTGTGTGTGTGTGTGTGTGTGTGTGTGTGTGTGTGTGTGTGTGTGTGTGTGCGTGTGTGTGTGTGTGTGTGTGTGTGTGTGTGTGTGTGTGTGTGTGTGTGTGTGTGTGTGTGTGTCACCATGATGGTTCATTTAACAGCTATCCCCATGACTTACTAACGTTTTAGACCTGATGCCAGACAGCAGCAGCAGACAGAACAGTTTGTGGCTGGGGTGACGGGGGTCTTTGTAGATGTGTCCTCAACACCGTGTGTGAACATCAGAATCTGTTCAAGTCCTCTCTTTTCTTCCTCAGGTGCCCAGACCAGCTGAGGCAGTGGATGAAGAGCAGCCTCCTCCTCTTCCTCAGCCCCGGAAGAAAGGTCCCAGAGCTCAGAGGGTGTGACATCACTCCTCTTCTACAGAGGTGTATCAGGGCCGTGTCGATCATGGAAATGAACATTATTCTAAAGATTCAAATGACCTTTTTCCAAAATTAAAACGGTCATTTTACAGGAAACTGACAATTTTGCGAGAAAAACACTTTGATATTCTCTGTGAATAAAATCAGACATTTTCAGATAAAGAAACGTTAAAGTGTAAAAGTTGTGGGATTTCGTCCAGAATCCACCGGTGGCCACGCGTCAGAATAATCAATGAGAAAAAGTTAATTTTCCACATATTTTTGGTACATTTGTGACTCTCTTTTTAAAATATATTTGTAATGAATACTCCACTTCTGAGAGGTGTACCTCTAAAAGTTACCTGCTGGCTCTGTCACTTGTTGTTTACCTATTATGCCAGACAGACAAGTAAATATAGAAAATATTTGTATTTTAAGTGCCAGATAATATCACTGCAGTATTTTTATATATATTTTGTCAAAACTCTTGAATACAGTTCTTTATTTATGTGTCTGTAAATTGATTAATAAAATAAATCTGGGCGGCATAGAAATCACAGACGGCTAATATGTCAACTTTAATTATGAAGGATTGCTTATCGAGCAGGGTTGACTTGATCTTAACAATGTAAATACAGTAATGTCCTCCATGTGTTTATATGCAGAAAAGGAACCATACCATATGTTTTATTTATCTGTGAAACCACCATGCAATGTCAGAAGCATATATTTTATACTCTGCTTTTTAATGTACAAATGTTGATTTAAACCGGATGCAAAATAAATGGTGTCAATTCAATCCAGGAAGATATGAGCGCGGTTAAATGATGTCGTCATTTTCACCTCTGCGTCTTCGTGCAGCGTTTTCAGGCTGTGTGTGTGTGTGTGTGTGTGTGTGTGTGTGTGTGTGTGTGTGTGTGTGTGTGTGTGTGTGTGTGTGTGTGTGTGTGTGAGACCCTCCACTCCAAAGCCAAGAGCTAACCCCAGAGAAGAGTCCCCTATGTCAGCTGGTGCTGAGGCTAGCTGCGCCCTCTCAGAGCCACTCTGACCAGTCTCTCAGCAACACTGCTCTCCAAACACCAATCACAGTCAAACGCATTATTACACAATGTAAAGACAACTATTTACAACATTGGAAAGAAGAAACTAAAAGCCAAAGTAGATTAGAATGTTACCTGGCTCTAAACAGAGAGTATGAGCTGGCAGAATATCTCTCTACTGTCAGAGATAGAAAGCAGAGACAGATCCTAACCAAGTACAGGCTCAGTGACCACAAACTGGCAATCGAAACAGGAAGACTCAAAAGATCCTGGCAACCAAAAGAGAACAGAATATGTGGTCACTGTACGAGAGGTGAGACTGAGACAGAGATGCACTTCCTCCTGAAGTGCCAAACATTCAACGAAGCAAGGAGCGTTTACTGGAACAAGTTGAACTCTGTAATCCCAGGTTTCAAGGAGGTTGATGACCTCTCAAGACTGAGAGCACTCCTAGGAGAAGGAGACATGGCACATCTTGCTGCCCAATATGTATACACATGCCACAACCTGAGGGACAGTGAATGACACACACACACACGTGTTGAAATGTAATTGTATCACTATATATATATATATCATCAATAATATGTAAACATTTGAAATGTATGTTAATGGTGTTAATTATTTTGTATTGTGATGCTTTGGCAACATTGTTTAATTGAACTTTCATGCCAATAAAGCCCCATTGAATTGAGAGAGAGAGAGAGAGAGAGAGAGAGAGAGAAGAGAGAGAGGAGAGAGAGAGAGAGAGAGAGAGAGAGAGAGAGAGAGAGAGAGAGAGAGAGAGATACAGATACAGAGATATACAGATACAGAGACAGAGAGAGATCCTGCGTCTGTTCTGCTTAAAATGTGTTTGTGGTTTTGACTGGCTCCTGCAAACTGCAAGATTATCTCGAGTGTGTGTGTGTGTGTGTGTGTGTGTGTGTGTGTGTGTGTGTGTGTGTGTGTGTGTGTGTGTGTGTGTGTGTGTGTGTGTCCTCCGTTATTCTCCTCGTCCTCATTATTTAATTATTTAGTTGTTGCTTTGTCTTCACACACCCACCCTGTGCGGCTGTTGTTTTATTTTCACACCTACCATCCACTCTTTATTTAACAATGATGAGAAATTATTTTAAGTTCTTAAAAGATTAATTGAATATACCCAATTTACAACAATTCAAGAATTGTCTAGAACTGTTGTAATTCTTACTCAATTTCTTCTCCAGTCCATTCAACAATATCTGTTAATTTAAATACTAACACACGAGATGAAAATATATTCTATGTTAATAAACGCAAAGCACCATCTAACACATAACGTGCATACAATTGTCACCTGGACTTGCAACGCCAATATGTCATCACAGTACAATGTGTATCCTCTGTTAGTGATATACTCATTTATTTGGACCCTCCTGCCGTAGTAATACTTCCTAAATCAACATTTTATTTCAAGTAAGATTTGTTTTGAATTACTTGTATAGCTTGATTCCCATGGATTTATTGATGACTTTATGAACATTCTTTTAAATCTATTAAATACGTAACATTTAGAAACATCCACCAAACATCATACATTTTTTTGACATGTGTATTGTTAGTGATAAAGACAGAAGAAATGGTAGATTTTTTGATTTTCTTTCAGTTTTTGTTCGTGTATTAACTCAGTGTGTCCACTAGATGGTGCTGTAGACACACGGGTCGATTGGTAGTTAAGCTTAGATGCATTTCATATTTTCAGCTCGACATGCTCCTTTAAAGGTGAGGAACATTTTCCAACCCCTCAACCAACTTAAAACTCAATGGATTGTCTAAAAATATAAGTAATTTTAAAAAATCACACATTGAATAAATCCAACAAGATGATCTCTCACATCCTTTTAGATTGAAATCCAGATGTATGCAATAGATGTATAAACAATATATATAGACATTTTATTTATTGGGATAAATATATATATATTATTCCCTTAATCTTTATTGTCAACGTGAATTCTCTTTGGCCAGTAGGTGGCGCTACATGTAAAAATGTTCACGTATTGAGGCTTTAGTGTAATCCAACATTTACAGTTGACCCAATGTTGACCCTAGGATTTGACTGTCTGTATTTAATCATGTATATCCACTGTAATACTTTATTCCTTCTAAAGTCTATTCAATTGTTTTAAATTAATTTTAAAGCAAGTCTAAAGAGGAGAAAAGATTTAAGGTGAGTGGATTAAGATTTAGTGCCAAGAATACAGGACTATGGTTAATGAGTGATAGGGGAGTAGGTCAATGAGATAAGACTATCGTGTGTGTGTGTGTGTGTGTGTGTGTGTGTGTGTGTGTGTGTGTGTGTGTGTGTGTGTGTGTGTGTGTGTCAGTTTAAACAGGCGTCGCCTTTGAGACCACATGCAGTACTTGACTTGATTCCCATCGGCCACACACACCTTTTAAAAATAGGACACTCAACTTCGAGCAGATGACCCTCAAAGTTTTAACCTTTGACCCCGACCAGGTTACGGACCCAAACCATAGGTAAATACACACACACACACTCACACACACACACACACACACACACACACACACACACACACACACACACACACACACACACATACACACACACTTGCTACAGACAGCAGGTATGTGTCAGCGACAGGTCTGTAAAAAGGGCAGGAAATGTAATAAAAAGTGTCCCAAAAGAAAAGTACTATTTATGCACAATGGCCCATATAAGAAGAATATCTTTATATTGTTGTTTTTCAATTATTGATGCATTAATGTTTCCATTACTTTAATTTTGCAGCTGGTAAAAGTGGACCATATCTGCATTTCTTGGGAGTTTTCTTAGTAATAAGATATCCTTTGGGATTACATTTGTGAATCTGCAAGGTGGCTGAAGTTATATTTAAATAATGTAGTTGAGTACAAGTACAATATTTGCCTCTGAGATGAGTACAAGTATAAAGTAGCATGCACATACTTAAGTAATGCACAATTATTTCACATTTTACTTTATTTTAGCACATGGCAATTCAAAGTGCACTTACAAAAATATTAAAAGCTTTAAGACATAGTGCAAAAGAAACACTATGAATTGAAAAAAGACACATTCAAAAAGATAGAATGAGATAGTTAAAAAATACAAAAAATGTAAGTTGTAGCGCAGTGTCAGTTTGAATATTGATTAAATGCACTTAGATACATCCCATTTCTGTTGTTTATTAGGTCCATACACAAATACAGAGTGTAAAGCATCACATCAGAGGTGTTGCATGGACATGTCTGCAGCATGCACCTTGTGGCAGGATATTATCGATCAGGGAGTCTCTCTCTCTCCACCTGGGACCTCCCTGCTCCACCACTCCTCCTCCTCCAGCCCGTCACCTAACTTCCGGCCACTCTCCCTACGCTCCCAGCCTCCCTCACTATCAATCTCACCCTTATTCCCATGCACACGTTGAACCGGTTCAGTGTCAGTGTGTGGACCGTGTAAACACTCCCTTTGGGATCCGTTTTTCTCTGGATTATAGTCGTTTTTTTCTGCGGCTGCGCCCGGTGTGCGGTGCAGAGTTGAAGAGGACTGCTGTTACCCCACACGCAGGACAAAGAAAACGGGGGCAAATTAAGGGGGAAAAGACAGAAGAAAAGAGGAATGAAAATGGATAAGTGTCTCCTCACGGTGGTCGTCGGTGTTTTAATGCTCGGTAAGAAACGCTTCTCTGCTTCACTGCTGATTGCTAATTAACTCTCCAGCCAGGAGTGCCAAACTGTGTTTCGAAACATGTCAATTTAATCATTATAGTGTGTCTGCAAACGTACATTTATTTTAAAGGATCAATTTAAGCATGTTTAATATCTTTAACATCCATTAACCAGTTCGGCATATATCCAATCCATTAAGCAGATCTTAATTTCTTTTAATTTACACATTTTTTACTGGTTCTCACCGCTAGCCACTTCAACCCACCGTGTATTTGGATTCAGGGCTGCAACAAGCGAAGAGGTTCAACAAGTTCAAATTTAAGTGATTCATTGGTTTCTCCTGGTTTGTCTGATAACGCCGAATTGAAAAATGAATCCAATTAATCTAAAAAAATCAATAATTCAGGTTGTCAGAGACGTCTGCATGTAATGACAAGCAAAAAAGCTAAAATGGTATATTAATAAAGGAGGTTTGGTGCGAGGATTCTTGGTAGCTTCCCCCATAACTGCCTCACCGTGTTAAAACTGCTCTAAAATTGTGTTTTGCTAATTTATTAACCTAATTTCGACGATTGACTTGCTATTCACCTAGCTTTATGTTTAATTAAAACACATGAGGGAGAAAACATGGAGGGGAAAGCTAACTAAAGATTTCTGTTGTGAGGAGATTAATGTAGTGGATAAATGGTAATTAAAACACTTTTCTAGGGGAGAAAACAGTCCACGTTTTCAGTCTCAGTGCTATTAAACCTCTCTTTAACCAAGAAGACTGAACTTCCATTGAAACCATCATGAGGTGACCAGCTCTGACAAGGTCCCATCAGCCCACTGGGATGTCAAACTGTGCTGGCTACCATGAGTAGCCTTATTATTTCCCATTCATGCATACTAGAGTTAAACCAGGTTGACTAATTATCCAGCAGGTTTGAACATTATATATACAATCTATGGTTTGAACCAAAGGGCCACAATGCTTAGTCATTAGGCTGTTTTCTCCACGTTCAGGGACATCCCAGGGCTTGTTCACTGGTTTACCTCAGGGCCAAATCAGGCTTAACAGGCTCACAAATACTGAAGTTGCCATGTGTT